TGCCGCAGCATTTGACCATTTTCTAAGCGCAGTTGTTGTCAGTTTTCAAAATTTGTTAAATGTACGCAGCCAAATGGGCACGCTGCCTATCAAACGTAGTATTTTTTGTTACTTTGGTTCATTCGTCCCCAATCCTAGCATCGTTGATCAATTCATTCGTACCCCAATATTCTCAACTCCTACCATATTCATCACGCGCATTAGTTTTAAAACTTACATGTTTTTACATGCATTTCAGTAATTGCTTTAGTATACACCCAGCGCAGTACACTGCACATGCCCGCACGCGCACCTGACCAAATGCATACATTCTTCATTCATCGTGACGTTAGCGCAATACACTTTTAGTTATTATAGAAGTAGTCGTTTACTAACCCATTTATTAACACGTCGCATTTTACCGTTTTATTACTAACCCCTCCTTACTTATGTGCGCTACATGTAATCAAAATGTCGTCGCATTCGCATTCAGTCATAGTTTTCCTTCTTTAAGGTAACTTTTGTACTCATCTTCAGCAATCATTATGCTACGACACCTTCATTTTTAGCTGCGCTAAACGCAATACTAGAAGCAAATAAGTTTGCTGCTTATGCTACAAGATCGCGCAGTCGCAGTACCAAATAACAGTGTACAGAACTCAGCGCACTTTCGAATGGTTTTTATAGGCCTTATTATATTAATTACTATTTCTTACTTCCTTGATGTTTTCAAACGCGCACTTACATAATCTTTTATTCTTCCTCCTTTGTATTAATTGCGCAGGTTTCCATGCTCTTTAGCATAAATTCCTTTAGTTTTAGCTAGTCATTGCGCATGATACGCAACACCTATCTGTAAATTACATAGCGCACGCACTCGGTCTAGAGTCTAACAAGTACAGCTCCGCTTCACTCCATTAACATCTTCTTGCTTTTTTATAAAAATGTCGCGCATAAGTTCTCGCTAGCTTCATAGTTTATACTTTATATTCGCTATGATCAATACTGTTCTATCTTTTTAGTTATTAGGCGCATCTTACGCTTTATTTCCTATTTCATTGCGCAATTGTTAATGTAGTTTTTATCTCGCGAATCCCCTTTGTTGGTCACTCAGTCGCCGTGGCACGTTCTCGCATACTGCCTCTATAAACATTAGCATACTAACGTCCACATTAAGGTAAGGCTGACGGGTCTGACCAACCCAAAGCAATCGGGACTTGCGAAATATGCCAGTTCAATCAAGTTTTACCACCCAAGGCACGTCCCCACGCGTCCAAACAGGTAAGTTTACGCAGAAGGCGTACGCGGAAAGTCCCGCACAATGAATGCGATGCGAGCGTGTTGAGCCTCAGCCAGCTTTTTGATGGGGTACTAACCTTCAAAGCGCAGGGAAAAGCTGCAGCGGTTAATTCTGGCGAATCATCATCGCAAGCGCAAAACGTTGCGAGTTCCTCACACCCTCCTTCTCACAAAAAGCGCGCATTCCATCTAGCGCATCAATGTAAAACTCAGTGCTTTTTGTGTAAAGGCAAGCATTACTCTTCTGAATGTTCGGCGTACCCTCGCTTGAGGGATCGAATAGTAGCGCATGCGAATCGCGGTGGATGTTTCAAATGCGGAGACCTCCACCACGACTCACAATGCAAAAAATCTGTATGTTGCAGAGGATGTAGATCGAAGGATCACCATACTACCTTCTGTGCTTACAACAAGAACGCAATCGTCGACATCAAAGGAGAAGAACTCTACGATTTGCTTTCTAGGGCTCGCAGATATGTTCAACTCACTTACTTCGAGTGAAGCGTATTCAAACCTAGACCTAGTTTAAGCGCATTTGTTATTAACAATCGTTCTTTTCGCGCAGATGACAATATTTTACTTTTGTCTACTAAATTTATCAATTCTAACCTCACTTGACAGTTTCGTCTACTCGCATTTTGGCCTTGTGCCCGCAGGATCCGTGCTACGGATTTCAAAACAGTCTTAGTTATGCGTAGTTTTCTGTACACCTCTTGCCAAAATAGCAAATTTAAACGCAGCGCACAAAATTCCGCGCATCCAATTTGTACTGCGACGCATTTCAATAACGCACTCGTTTTCAATAACGAGACTAATAGCGATCTCAGTGCGCATCTGTTTTTTAGTCATGTTTAAGCAAATTAAAACACATGTCTAGCGCAGTAGTCAGTTTCAGGGATGACACCTCGTAAAGTTGTGTCAAGCGCACTCTACGTTATCGTATCCTTTTTTCGGTCCTGTTTAACAGGCCGCGCAAACTCACTACGCACTTTTCAGAAAGTGCTTAGTTCTCCGCCGATTTTACAAGCGTCGGTGGACGCAACCTTGGGGGCATGCGGTGGGAGACCGCATTCTTATCGTTCGTCTGTCCCGGGTTTGAGCTACGTGCCTTTGTTTTGAGACCCTTGGGGAATGTTTTGCTGTCTATGTGAGGAAAATCTCCCCCTCACGCTTAAAATGACCCTTCGGAGCTTAAAACTCTGCTCCTCAACAATCTAGTAGGCCCAACACATTTTTTCAACCGTCACACCGCACTGTCGTCCATCGCTTTCGAAGTCTACGTCAATCAACGTCAAGCGCAATTGCCAAGTTGATGCCGCCGTCGAGGACGCAGTATCCTAAACCGCAGAAGATATTTTGTGATCCGTTTTATCAATCGTTTGTTATGTTGTGTTTATTCGCATTTTACCAGAAGTTATTGTATTAAGATCACCTATGACCCAGCAAGTCAAATTAGTCCTATGGATCCTCACACCCATGTGACTCGGGGGGAAACACATGGCTACTTAGGCCCAATCCGGTAGGCGTCGATTAACGTGTATGTGAATAAGTAGGTAAGCGGTGCTTTCCAGCTCCTGTGGCGCGTGCGGCTTTCTCGTTTTGCCGCCCCCAGTGTCGTGACTTTCGTACGACCTTCTACGCATATGTACGCCGTCACGGTTCGCACTCTACATCCGACGCCAAGTCAGCCAGCCATCTTAAAGGGCCGAGTCGTCAGGGTCCGCACTGGGTCTTCACGCGCACTAGTCGACGCGCAGGGAAGGATTGGCCCACGCCACTTTTGGGCCTGGAAGTTTCTACGAGTCAGTCGTCTCCTCGTCGTCATCGTGAGTCGTCGTCTCTTCCTTCGTCCTGCCCGGTTGTTCCCCATCATCATCCCTATCCGTCATCGCAGTGCATGGTACTGCCGTCCTTCGTCCCTCGTCCTTTGTCCCGCATCTGATTCCATCTCGAGCGCAGCTGTCACTCCAGCGCAGAAGACAATGGACGCAGTGGTATTCGCTAGACGTTCTACGAGCGCCGTCGTCCGTCCCCCGGACGACCCTTGGGGCGCAGCGCACTTCATGGAATGGACACCTTGGACAAGGATCTGTGGTATGGAAGACAGGAACCTTCACTCCTCTGTGCTCCGCGCCCGGACGTGACGAACGCACCCCGGCTAACGCCCAGCGCACGAGTGAAGGGGCTCGAAGCACCGATGGCCCCTAATGAGGTGAGGACCATCCCGTAGGTTTAAGGTCGTAGGTTTCGCAGATTGTCAGTATGGCATAAAGCCCAATTCTTTTACTTTGTGTTTTGTTGTGTAGCAAGAGTAAGCGCAGTAGTAAGCGCACTTGTCAAATATCGTTTCCTTCATTCACATGTGCTATTCTATCATAGAGATCAATATTTATTGATTACTGTCGTTGTCGATGACAACGTCATCATAGCTTAATCAACAATGTCAAGGGTGGTTACAAGCGCAGCGGATTGGCAACATCACGGGAAAGTAAAAAGGGTTTCAGCGCAGTTGTCTTCTTCGGTTGAGCGCAGAGGTCTTCCATCAGGAAGGAATGAATAGGGGCAACGGAGGATGAGGACCGCAGATACCGTGGCAGGCAGAGCAAAGGCGCGTGCCCTCCGTACATCATCAAAATCACGGCACCGGGCTGCAGGCCATGTTAGTAGTTTGTCACGTCTTGCCCCAGGCTTGCCGCACCGGCGTCGCGACACACGTGGAAACCACACGTTCAAGGCAATTACTATACTTCGCGATCACAATTTACGCTTAGGAGATTAGGCCGGTGAGGAAAGGATAGGCGTACCGATCAGGCGACTAGGCGATGTTCAGCGTCCCGGAGCCACAGAGCGACAAGTATGCTTTCCTTTTTGCTGCATCGCCTAAACATCCTATAAATGCGTTATAGTTGGCGATCTGCGTGACGGGACTAGGGTCAGCGAACGAGTCGATTAGGGGAAGGGGGGGCCATAAGGAAAGATTACGTGTTGATATTCTGGGCTCCCCATTGAGCGATCGCCTCACCTATAGCGCACAATGGGCGGGGCAAGTCAATCAATACGTATGTAGTCCTCCCGCCTAATCACCTAATCTATACGTATATTTTTCATTATAAAACTAATCGCCCTAACGCCTAATCACGTACGATCGCCAACTATGAGCACTCCATTAGGCATATGCGATCACGGTACATGATCGCTGCACAAGACGGCTTGTGGGTCGTGCACAAAAACATTTACACATGCCTCGATGTCACTGGGGACGCAGTCTATGCAAAACAAGGGTGTAGTCGTGAAAAATGTGCGCGCGATCGCGGCCGATGTAAAATCGTGTCGTTCCCTTCACAATTATCTTTATTCTTTTCCGCAGTTCATAAGTACGATCATACATAGTGTGTACTTCGACGCTGTCGCAAGATACGGGATCATTCTTTAGAACTAAGTCCAAGAGGGGACAGGAACATCGAGGGACAACAGAATTTCGCGCACACACCCATGATTTCTTATTTCTCCAGCTTAACGATTAAGTCCCAGTTTGAACAGTATTGAATGCGTGATGCCACACAATGCCTCGTAACTTGCGATAGCGCCTGTACTTTTTTGCTCGATTATCTCCGGTGCCTTAATAGTGTTTTATTTCACACTNTAATTACATGTTTGACATAAGCTGTATAGAATGTACATATCGATTTATAGATCACATGGTTAATTTAGATAAAGAATTGTTACTCAGCTTCAGGAGTTGCCCAGAACCGACTCATTTCCAATTCGTGAAAATAGATCCGGTTGAGCGCCGTCTGTCGTTGGCACAAATCGTTCCAGGCGCAGTTGTGCTTCTGCTTATAAAACGATATGATGAGATAGCTGATGAAAATGAGCTGAATGAGTAGAATGAACCCATAATCAATTCAAAATAAGACACTGAGACGCAATCTATCACGAGGAATTGAGAATGCAATAGCATTTAAGTGTTGAGTTGTTGGGGGATAAATCCTGATCTGGTTGGTTGATAGTTTTTTTTTCCGGACTGCGTGTCGTAGTTCACAGGATCAGATATCTAATAATCCGCGCTGGACGTGGCATATTGGGTCACGAGATCGTGACTGCGGTGTCGCGCAGGAACCAAAGTCGCACCCGCGGTTGTCCGCGCGCGCACGACTTGCGCCATTGTCGAGATGGCTGGGTACGTGCGATGGTATTCCCATGTAAAAAAACCCGTGTTACCCGTGTTCGCATCATTAGGACCTACTCTGCTCGCTCGAACCAGGATCAAGCCGGTGCGTTAGAGGGCATTCCTCGACAGCGGCTGCATGGGGGGAGCTCGGAATTTGCCGCTGGAGGAAGGCGGTCGGCTGGACAGTAGGCAGATAGGTATTAACTATCAAGGATCCAAAAACACAATCACCAAAGTAGTGATCGATGTTGGGCAAGTTTGATATATGATAGAATTATCCAATAACAAGTTTTCCGCTCACATAAATTTTCGTGATTCAAAGGGGTCCGCGTAGTAATTCTACGCTACCTGAGTTATTTATCACGACAAGGTTAAAGAATCTGATGTTCGCACGCTTTTTCGACAAAAATTTTATCTTTCAAATGAGTCCACCAACATGAAGGGATGTGAAACTTACGGTGCGTCTCAGAATGCGCCCAGTCATCTGCGTGCGCTTGAGCAACTGATGTTTGCGACGTCGATTCAAGGAAAAACCCAAGAGGAATTCTGTAGAAAAGGCCGAGTAAAATGAGACGGTCAAGTTCACTACTCAAGCGAAATTGCCAGTTTTGGCTTGTTTTGTTTGTTAACTGCTGTTTTAACGCCGCAGTTCGCGTTGCGAATGTTTCACAAGAATGCTGGGTTGTGAACAAAACTTTCGCCCCAGGCGGGACTAGAACCCGCACCTCTCGCTTTCCGGGCAAGTGCGCTACCAGTTACGCTACCGGGGCACCATTTCATTCCCAACTCAGCTTCTTTGGTTCAAGCCTTTAGACCGACGTCATAGTCGGCGACGGACAAGCGATGGAGCGATCGCGATCGCTCCATCGCTTGTCCGTCGCTTGCCAATCGCTCTCGGTCGAGCGATTGGCAAGCGATTGCGCAATCGCTTGCAAAGTGCACAAGCGACGGGCGAATGGCTCTGCTCGATCGATACCGCAGCCGACTGCATCGACTGGGGGCGGGGCCAATCGCCCGTCGCTTGTGCACTTTGCAAGCGATTGCGCAATCGCTCGACCGAGAGCGATTGCAAAACGGTCGCCGATCCGCCGACTATGACGTCGCGTTATAGCGTCAATTGTTATCATGTTAATCGTCAAAGTTGAGGATTCGCTAACAATTTTTTTTTTTTACACTTATTGGACGAAGAGAAGAACACTTATGATGCCAAATCTAGCTCCCACTTTTGTATATTATCGTCAATGGAAGAGCGCTGTAGCCGTTGGAGTATCCGCCGTTTTGACCCCTTAATTTTGAAGCACCACAACTTTGCTGAAACACAAATCTTTTTGTTCGAAATAAAAACTGCTATGTCCAGCAGATTGTTCTCAATCAGACCCATGCTAAGAACTTCCCTTCCTATAGATCTTTAATTTATTATAGGCTAAAAGCTGTAGGAAGGCGCATTTGACATGCCTCAGTTCTCAACGCGATTTCTCCTCCAAGATCCTACTATATATAAGCGGCTAGCGTGTGTCTGTTGGTGTGTGTGTGTGTGTTTGACCGGAAATTCATAGCTCGAGTCACAGTAATGATAGCGCAGTGGTTCTTACATATGTTATAGGGGGTGGGATGGGGACACAAGTGGTACGTGATAGGAACTGATAACGACTGATAATAGCTGATAAGAGGGGCTAGAAAGCGAGCATCGCCAATTTCGTTTTGCCGTTCATATTGGTAAAAGAGCGTCTATACTTACAAGTGTTATGTGGGGGGCGGTCCCGGGACATTGGTGGTACATGATTGGAAGCGATAGCAACTGATAATGGCTGATAAGATGCGCTAGAACGCAAAAGTCGTCAAATCTGTTCAAGTAACTCCAGTTGACACTAGAGCGTCCATACTCGCAGGTGTCATGTGGGGTGGGACGGGGACATTGTTGGTGGGTGATTGAAAGTGATTGCACTGATAAGGGCTGATAAGGGGCGTCAGAACGCAAAAGTCGTCGATTCCGTTACGCAGCTTGCGTTGACACTAGAGCGTCCATACTCGCAGGTGTCATGTGGGGTGGGACGGGACATTGTTGGTAGGTGATGGAAAGTGGTTACAACTGATAAGGGCTGATAAGGGGCGTCAGAACGCAAAAGTCGTCGATTCCGTTACGTGCTTGCGCTGACACTAGAGCGTCCCTACTTACAAATTCTATCGTCTCACGTGCTCAGTGCTGTTACTCCCACCCGCTGTCATCACTACTTTTACACGCGTCTAACTCATGGTTAATCCTTCTTATAAACTTATAAAGCGCTAACTTGGTGTGTTTGTGTGTATGTCTGTATGTATGTATGTATGTGTGTCCGTCCGCAAAATGAAGTGAGTGAGAAGGAAGCTCATGGGATAAACAAACCGCTAACAAATCGGGTAGCTTACAGGATTTGAGATATCAATGTTTTGTAGGCATGATTGTGATAACACTCCAAGGCTATATAAACACCTGCTTAGCACACTTCCGGTTCATTCCACATGGTGCTGCAGTGGCAGCTGGAGGGCAGTGGAGGGGGGGGGTGTTTGAGGAGGGGCGGAAAACCAATCCCAACAGGCCTAGGATGCAATTAGGTTTTGGTAAGGTCATTTTAGGACGTAAAGCGTACGCAGTGAAAGAAGGTCCCGGCGGTTGACGGGGGACCAACCTGGTAAAAAATAAAGGATAAAGCATTTGCCGTTGATCAATCCCTTTTTGGGATGCGGCACGCATTCTACTTCCATTTGTACATTCGTAGTGGCGTTTGAATGCGATGTGGCCTATACAATGACTTGCGGGGGCCAGCCGATGTACAAGTCAGTGTTTTTATCCTCCCAGACAAGTCTGGTACCAATTAACCGACCCCGGAGGGATGGAAGGCTTGGTTGGCCCGGGCGACTCACGACCCAGGATTTGATCCCGGACCGCTCGCGTGGTAAGCGCGCCACTTGCCACTTCGTCCAACTAATGCCTATAGTAGAGCAAATGTAGAGCTTGCCATGCTCCCTGACGGGTTGCTTTTATGCAATGATAGGCCAAAGTTCAAGTCTACTGCAGCTCAGGTGTGATGTACCCCGCTTTGGGATCCTGGTGGGGGAACGGCATGGTAATTTGAAAGTTTAGAACGGAAAATCCACAGCCTTTTGACACGATCACATACTACATACATACATGCATATTCCACAGCAGTAGGAGTTATCCTGAGTAACTATAAACATTTTTTGGTGCGTTCTAGCTGCTTGCCTTGTATGACTATGATTTCCAAATGACTCCGAGTGGGGCCATTACGGGGGGCGTACCAGAACGAAATAGATCTTTTCCAATTGTGTCGTTTCCTTATCACTTCATCGAGGTGATGTATCCTAGAAGCCGTTAGAGGCTTTGGAAAACGTTCCTCATATCGGCGGAGAAGGGATTCTCGATTGCTTCGAAAACTTTCTTGACAGATTCTCGACGCAGATTACAGACCAGAATTTATATCAGAAAGTGTAAATCTCGTAGTGTATCCCCTAGTAATCTGATTTGTAATAGTATGTATGTAACCAAAATTGAAACTTGCCTCTTTTTCGGAGTGTACGAAACAGCAGTGTGAAAGTCGCTCATGCCCATGGCCCCTCCGTCCTGATCGGTGTTCAGTAGCAAGTGTGCGGCTTGTCCATGATCTTCTACTTGTGTCGGTCCTTGGTCTTGCTCAGCTGCCGCAGAAAGTCGTGCCTCTTTTCCTGATCCAAGTTCGACCGGTGCTTCCGGATTCGTGGCTTCGGCTGGTTGGCCAGCTGGCTGGCTGGCGGCCTGTAGGTCTTGATGGTACCGGCAGCAGGCTGTGGTCTGTGGATGATCGTCAGGTGCTGCTGGTTTATCGTCGGCTTGCGGCGGATTGCCAGATCCTGAAGCTTGTTCAGCGGCCGGCTGCTGACGGTCAGATGGTGGTGCAGCTTGGTCGGCAGCAGCCAGCTGCTGACGGTCAGATGGTGGTGCAGCTTGGTCGGCAGCGCCGGGCTGAGCGGGCTGGTCGTAAGGTGAAGGGGAGCTTTGACCACCTTGCATTTGATCACCCGACGTTTTCCTTCCAGTGTCCTCGGATGTTTTCTGAGCAGTGTCGTTCTTTGTTGCTGAGGTTGTTGTTTTTGCTGTCCCTTCGGATGTGCCACTCTCGTTCTGATTTCCCGAAGTTGTTTCGTTCTGGTTTCCTGAGGTTGTCTCGTTCTGGTTCCCCGAGGTTGTCGTTTTTGCAGTCCCATCGGAGGTTCCCGAAGCGTTCTCGTCCGCGCCTCCCGAGGTTGTACCTTTTGTTGCTCCATCAGAGGTTCCCGAAGCATTCTCGTCCGCGCTTCCCGAGGTTGTCCCTTTTGATGCTCCATCAGACCTTCCCGAAGCGTTCTCGTCCTTTGCTTCCCGAGGTTGTCGCTTTTGCTGTTCCATCGGACGTTCCCTTAGCACTCTCGTCTTTGCTTCCCGTAGTTGTTGTTTTAACGGTTCCGTCGGACGTTCCCGGGACACCGTCAATCTTGGGTCCCGAGCTTGTTGTTGTCGTCGTTATGAAAATGTCCTTGTTCGTTGGGCTCGACGAACTGCCAGACTTCTTGGACTTCTTAGACCTCTTTTTGTCACGAGGAGATTTATGTTTTTTGAATAAGGTTTTTGGACGTTCTGGCGACTTCTTGCCTTTCCTTGACGACTTTCGCTGAAAAATTGAAGCTTTTATCTGGGAAAGAAACCATAACTCTGGAGAAAATCACCTTCCTAGGCTTCTTGTCATGTTTAGAGCCGCTGCTTGATTTGCTTTTTTTGGAAGGACTGCTTGACTTGCTTCTGTAACATTACAGAATCTCGTTTGAGGATGGGCAACGGAGAAGGATGATATTGCTCGCTAGGGGAAATACGGAGTATGATAGGAAACGCAGATGAAATCATCAAGAAAGGCTTGACCAGGAGCAGCCATTAATGAGTGTTTTCTTTCTCGTTGCAACTTCCAAACGATCTGGGCATAGCGGGTGCGCTTACAAGGGAAGTCTTTCAGGACATGGAGCGCTTTTTCGAAATGGCTTTTGCATGTTGTAGGGGCTCATGCGAGGAACACAGAACCATGATCCATTTTTCCTGAACGCCTCCAGGAATGTCAAAACAGTGGTGAAGAAATGGTCCAGAGTTCGATCTCCGGTGACGACTAACTGGTTTGGCGATTAAAAGTTTTAGTGCCCCAGATGTGATTTGCAAATGGGCTTCATCTTGAGAATACATGTCATTATCGTTGTTTTGCGAGTAATTGGAGCGCAGTTAAATGGCAAAGAAAATTTCTCATCACGGAGTATCGAACTTTGGACAGTTCTTCCCCGCTGTCTTGATATTCCTGAGGGCGTTTTCGAAAAGAGGGCCATGATGCTGTGTTCTTCACATCATCCTCTGCAACATTATGAGAAGCATTTTGAAAAAGAAAACGCTCGATGCTTTCTGAAAGACCCCGTGCTTAGGAATGACTGTTAGGCGGGAAAATGATGCGCAGTAGCGTAAACTTCGTGAATGAAAGTTTGCACGGGTTAGTGGTTCAGATAAAAATAGCATCTTTAGGGCCGGTGCTGAGGGGAGACGAGATACAGTAAGGCACTATGGCTTGACTGTCAGGTCGCATGTAGCAGGTTTACGGTCAAATCAGTTGCATTGTAATGAGGTCCTAGGAAAGCCTGTGCCAAGGTTTGCACTTTTTTTGTAATTTATTTTCTTATCAGTACAGCGAAAATGTTAGAGATGTGATAAATGCACCACCGATAGGCACAATTGAGGGGTTCAAGAAATATTTACACAACCGAAGCGTCTCAGAATCCCCAAGAATGGACGACCGACTTTGTCCGCTTGATTTCCGCATTGATGAAAGCCACCGCACTCACCTCACCAATGCTAACACTCGCTCTGCTAGGGGGCTAGAGTCAGACGAGGTGGGCGGGCAGTGGCGTTGGCGGGGTCCTGCCAGGCCGCTGGGGCCATACCCTTCGCTGCGAAATCCTGCACCGTCCCGCGCCCCTAGGGGACCTTCCGGCCTTTCCACTAGGAGAACTTCTCCCTCTTCGACCATCAATCTTATCGGGAATCCTCTTTTGAACTAGCTTGTTCAGTATGGTCATTAGCGCAGCATCGATTTGGCACAAATTTTTGCGTTTCTGAAATAGGGTTTTTGTGCACTTCATTATCGCATGACCAAGCGGCGCTCACGGTTTCATATCTGACGGAGTTCTCAAAATCTTTCAGGGTGGTCTTCGCCTTGAAAAATTTCTTTTCTTCGAGGTTGAATTGGAAACATGTGGAATTACACGACGAAAGTAGCAAATCTCCCCTTTTAGAGCAGTGAATATTTTTCAACCCTATATAACTGTGTTAAGATCTGAGACGTACTTCGACTTCTTCTTCGGCTTGCATGACAGTAATCCCAGAAAAGATTTGCGTTTCTTAGGTTCTCCCTAAACCTCCATTCATTTACATAACTGCCATCATCTATGGACATCTCCTGGCGCTCATGTCGTTGGGAAGGGGGGGGGGAAGGGAAGAAATTCAAGTGACTGAGCCACTTTCAGCACTGGGACTAAGCTTCAGGGAGGGAAAGGGACCCTGGGGGAATACGAGAAGGTTGTGTTCTGAAGTAAGCAAACCAGCCCTTTTGGCGTTTCTGCTGGGGCCGTATGCTGAATGTTGGGGAGGGGATGGGGTCCCCGACGGTCGACGGACTACTTCAACTCGGTCCTTAAACCGCCACAATTTGGTGCTTACCTCAGAACTAAGCCTTAAAGAGAGGACGGACCCGTCCCCTCTCTCCAAGGCTTAGTCCTGGGGTGAGCAAACCAGCCCTTCTGGCGGAGCTGCTGGACCAGCTGCACCACTTGCGTCAGTACTCTCCTACCGTACCGACCGAGTTGAAGTAGTCCGTCGACCGTCGGGGACCCCATCCCCTCCCCAACATTCAGCATACGGCCCCAGCAGCCAAAAGGGCTGGTTTGCTTACCTCTTGTGTTCTTCCCTAGCGTATCTCCCCTCTCCTGGATTTAGTCCCAGTGACACTCACCATTCGGCTTTTGAATGTCCCCCCCCCTCCTCAAGGACATGAGCGCCCACATCCTCAATCATATACCTCAGAAGCTGACACTGATGTAGTAAGCGTTGCCGTCTGACCACCCTTCGTCTTCGCCGATGCCGATGTGTGCGTGGTAACGCCACTTTGTCCTGCAAGTTGTCTTCCTGTGTGTCACCAATTCGAAATCACCACTAGTAGTTCCAGTGCCTCCAGTGCTCTCGTTATTGGTCGAACTTTGAGCAGAAGAACCCGTCGTCGCCGATACACCTGTGGAAGCTCCATCGCTTCTCAGCGGCGCGGCTGTCTCGATTTCATCATTGGACTTTCCCAGGGGAGAGACAATAATGGATCCATGTCGTCCAGTCTTCAACGATTATCTTTCCAGGAAACTATGGCTTTTCGAAGATTTCTTCCTTTCTTTTTGCCGCTACTACTACTGAAAGACGGACTTCTCAAACCAAAATCTACTAAAAACTTTCCTCAGTTTAGAAATTGTTACAGTCTTAACCTACCTTCTTTTCTTTCCTCGCGGACTTTTGCGTCTTTTCTTTCCATACGCCTCTTTTTGAGCTTCTAGCTCTTGTTCTAGTCGGTCTTCTTCCTTCCTCTCTACCTACAATGCGAAGATAAGATGGAAGGATAAGGGTGAGATTTTTCTATAGACGTTCTGTAACGGCGCTCATTTCGTTGGGAGCCGGAAGAAAAGGGAGGGCAAAATAGTAAACCACTTACAGAACTTGGAACTGAACTTAGGGAGGGGGAAAGAGGTTTTGGAGGGTGAGAGCAATTTTCGGTCCCCCTGGCATTTCTCCCCTTTCCTGGACTCAGTCCCGGTGCGGTTTTGAAATGCCTGTCGTTTTTTTAGTCTCCAGCCCACCACCGACGCATTGAAAGCTGTCGTTGAAAAATTAAGTCATATGCAAATGGTGACAGAATCATGAGACTTAACATAGAAGAATAGTACGGCGCGTCATTTCCCTTGAAGAGGGGATTCTAAGAAACAGGAAATCCGAATGCCTGTAGGTACACTAGGACTGAGCCCAGGAGAGGGGTGAAACGCTACGAAGAACAGAATCTGCTCAAAACCTCCCCAAGTCCCTTCCCCTCACTGAGGCTTAGGTCCCAAGTGCTGTAAGTGACCCACTTATCCTGAACCCACCCCCCTCCCTCAACGACTTGAGCGCCGATAGCACTATATTTATAACAGCCTGGTACTGCCTCTTAACCTTATATGTGTAGAACGTGGATCTCGGCGTGATCGTGGAAGAGGACGAAGAAGGCTTGTTTAAAAGGCCACCTGTCGAGCCCCCGCCTTCAATACAAGTAAACTCGTCTTCCATCACAGTCGTTACACTGATTCTGGTGTGAGATTTGTCTTCAGGTGGGGAGCGCAATTACCGGTCGGTAGCCCTACCGAATAATTGGGTTATGTTGTTCTTTGATCATGAACCGACTGGTTAACTAAACATTCCAGTAACTGAGTTATCACGAAATTATCATCCTTTGTGAAGACAACATCCATCATTTATAAACGACTCGAGGAATCGACCAGTCGCAAGCCAGGCAGAGGGCAAATGAGGAAGCGGTGACTCATCCTCACATTACGTGGAGTGTATTCACCCTGAATCAGCTTTCTGCATTGTCCAGAATTCCCATGAGATCTCTCTTCCACAGTAACGTCGAACACATTTTTCGTCTTGTGAAAAATGCGAATGGGTGCTGATGTCGTCGGGGGGCGAGTGAGTTATGCAGAGATCCCATATATCCAAATCGTGTATCCGCAGCTCTTCATGGGGTGACCTGGCTGGTGTCAGAGTCTGCGATCCGAATCGCGCGAAAACGGATTAACAGTATATCAGGCTCAAGTGCCCTTATTGATCAATACTGCGAGGTGCCTCCAATTCCGCCAACCATTTCTGCTTGATGATAATGGTTGAATGACGACTGTTCATTGTTCCACTTGTTTCATATTCTGTGCTTCAAATGTTCAAATGAGCACTTGCGATTTTTGCGATTCGCGCGGTTCGTGGAAATCGCGTGCGACGGATCGCGGACTCTGACACCAGCCTTTCGCGGCATTCAAGAGTTTGCGATCATAAATCGATTTGGGCAAGTTAATCGGTGACGTAGGCGAGTAGGCATGAAAAGAATGTTAATTGATCTGATGTATGATTTGTGTTCCGCCTCATTGAGCATCTGCCATTCGCCTACTCGCCTGACGCCTAATCGATACGTATCACTTTCCTTGTAGACCAATTGCCTAATCACCCAATCGATGTGCGATCGCCAACTCCAAACGCTGTTCATTGAGCAACGGACATGTTTCACAAGTACTCTCTCCTCTTCTCTGGACTCATCCGCAACAACTCGTGCTCCCCACAAACCACCAGTGCCCCATCCGACAACGCCTGTCCCTGATGTCTTAGTACTAACGCTGGATATGTGGTACGTACTGGGCTGGTTCGAATAAGCGGGATACCTGAGCGCTCTAACTCGGTTGTAAGGTTTGAGTGCAGTGAAGACCGGGCGTTCGTGCTGGAAGATCGAGAATGCTGTTGTTTATCTCATTGAGACTGATACCCGATCACCGGCGTAAACCAGTTCATTCCCAGCTCTGTGAACTGAGGTGGTCGTTCCCTTCCTCGTCCGAGTGTCTGCTGATCTTACTCAGTGTGTTGTTATATAACGAAGGTAGGGAAACATGATGTCGATAAAAGGACGGACGACGCACTGCCGTTTTGATTTGTGCTCAGGGGTCAAGAAGAAGTTAGTACCGCTAATCCTTGCTCAGAGAAAACGAATCTCCATTCTGTACTGATGACTGTGACTTACCAGGACCTGACAATCCGTGGAACGTCCAATGGTTGTACTTGATTCTGGGAGGCATAACCACTTGGCTACCGCCTTGATTCCGTCAGTCACCTGCTTACCTCGACACTCGACGCACTGAAAAACAGTGCGAAGAATGGAAGCGCGAATAATCAAGCCGGCCCATCAGGGTATTGAGCCCTGCCTGGAAACTTTCTTGAAGCTGTGTTACTTTAGATCATCAGACTTTAGATCACTTGCCTGTTCGTTATCTTTAGTGGCGCCTTGTAGCACCATAACAACGAGTCGTTAGTAGCTTAAGAATAGTATGACTGTCGGTTACACGACTACGAGTTGGAATTCGTAACCATACCACTACTCATCTTGTTTTGATAACATATACCAGACTAGTCGAGTTTATCGAATGAACCAGTGATAAACACATGAGAAACACTGTTTTGATGGAAATCCAAATACAGCGGTGAGCATAATGGAGCGTTCATAGTTGGCGATCGCACGTGCGATTGGCGATTAGGCGATGATTTAAAATGAAAAGTATGCGGATCGATTAGGCGATTAGGCGAGTAGGCAAGTAGCGATTAGTCGACTAGGCGATTAGGCGAGTAGGCGATCAAGAGAAGAAAAAGTATTGATTTGCTGCTCCGCCCATTGAGCCATCGAATCGCCTGAATCGCCTAATTCGCCTACCCGCCTACAACGTTTTATGGGCGGAACAAATCAATCAATACGTCTGTAATACCTTGTCTTCCCCGTCTGATCGCCTACTTCGCCACCCTCCGCCGCTATACGTATATTTTTTCATTATGGACGAATCGCCTAAATCTCCTAATCGCACGTACGATCGCCAACTCTGAACACTTCATAAGCCATTGAGGCTACATCTAGGACCACTTTTGATCGGCATCTATTGTTCAAAACTACTTCACCTCACAAACCCTCTCACTCTAACCTTTCTAGTACGTCGTTCTCAGTAGGTGCTGAGCCCCTAAGGACACATTTCATGGTGGGCTCAAGCAGTGGGTTTCAAATTGGACTGTCGACGCTAAGAAATGTGAAAAAGAAAACATAAACAGAACTTCAATAAAGTCCTAGACAGCAATATCTCTGCATTTGGAATCTAAAAGCGTTGTCCGAGGTAAATGAGGCAGAGATAACACATAGTTTATTTCCGAACGAGAAAGCTACCGATGGAGACATGAAAAGTAGACAGACAAGTGGAACAAAAAACGCAAGGCCTCTTGTCTCACCCAACCAACAAACCCAACCACAAGTTCCTGTTACTCACTCTCAAGTTTCAGAAGCGAAAAAGAACAATTTGGCAGAGCAGCTAACCTTGCTCACGGGAATCTCCTGAGCCACGACTAGGGTGATGTGTCCTCTCCAAGGACAACGGTTAACTTGGTGATTCAGCGTTTTGCAGTGTTCTCTAGGGACTCTCGGATATGCACACTATTACAGCGTCTACTTTCTTTCCCTGAGGTACGTTCCCGAGGGAGGGTACATATCCCCGACGGATCGTCGGATAAGAGGACCCCATCTCCGGCCCGAGGTTCTCGGCATCCTGACGGCCCAGTTCCCTGACGTCATAGGGCCGAAAATGTAATATGGAATATTACACCGTTTAGATTAAAGGCAGCGATTACGATAGATTCGAGAAGGGTTCAAGGAGACGTGGTGGTGCTCAATGGTACGCAGTGGCGAAAAAAGCGAGAAATCCGTCAAGAAAACGCAAAACGGGACCCCTTTTTTGGCCGTTGGTTTTCACTCATGAACAGGTAACAGCTCAGAAATCGTATGAACGAGTTCACCGCAACGCGTTTGGTGGCAGCATGCCAAACCACGCTCCAATCGAGTTGCTCCAGTTGTGCCGCTGCTGGCAACGCAGCTCGTCCAAATCACCAACTAAACTAGTGGGCGGATCGCTTTTGGGGGCGGAGTGCTTTCGAAGTCCTGCTCAGCAACCAGCGCACCTTTCGTCGTGAAAGCGCCACACTCGCTTCCTGGCAGCCAAGTAACTGATTCGTGTGGTGCATATGCTTCCCCGATGCGCTTCCTCCTTTATCGTAATCGCTGCCTTTGCGCAACTATGACTCTCAAGCACAAAAATGGATGACGGATGCTGTCGCATGCGGATGCGTGTCCAAGGTGGAGTTCAATAGCGGCGTGTCCTGTTGTGCGAATTGGCCCTGGCCCAGTACAACTACAGATCATATGAAACTTAGGCAGTAAAAAAAAGTACTGCACTTTTCCCCATTCCACCGCTGTGGTTAACAATATTTGAAAGTGGTTTCATATTTAGAATCAGCGTCAAAATTCTATGCAATGATACTACTTTGTAAAGTAATGATCCCTTGATCATAGCTTTGATGCTCATCTGTTTGCGTTTGTTCATTTCGATCTACGATCAAAGGTTGACGCCGAACCAGAGTCTGCCTTGCGTTGCGCAGTTCGCA